TTCTCTCTGGAGCTGATTCTGCTTTAAACTGTCTTCATGGGATTATTATATTGCTAATATAATTTTTTACACTCGGCCTTTCATCTTAAAGTGTCATCTTTCATATACTTTCTTGAATTTTATTGTATTCTGAAGGCAGATGCTTTTAAGTGTCTAAATCTGTTTCCTGTTCCGTATTTACAAATGTCTGTTCTCCTTTAAGTGCGGTGATTCTTTTCAGTTTATGCTGTGAGATCTATTCATAGATCAGGGCCTGTTTTTTCCCATCACTTATTCTTGCTTCAGTGGATAAAAGTGTATCAGGGCCCGTCACTCGCCCAGGATCAGTGTCTGGATTCTGCCTCGATCTGTGCTCACTCTGCCTGACTGCTCTAGAAATCTTATCTTAAACTTGAAGGAAGCCTCATTAACGTAAATTTCTGTGGCACGTCGCAGACACAGACAGGGCGAGGAGGAGTGCAGAGGAAGAGGTGCCAGTGGGGGAACTTCACGCGTGTCCGGTTTCTTCTCTGTTTGGTGGAGGTGGCATGGAGGAGCTGGTTTTGGGGGTCTGTTTTGCTTGGCCGTTGTCCATTTTAGGCGTGTCCTGTGGCCTTTCCCAGTCTGCCCCTTTTTACTACTGTCCTTTGTGCCGGGAATCAACCACCCTGGCCTCCTTGGACAGGCATGTCTTCCTTTGTGTCACTGATCCTTTGCAGGAGGGGTGCTCTGCCTGTCCCCCAGGTGTTGCTTCCAGCCCTGGCCGCCCTCCCGGACCCGGGGCCTCAGTGGGGTTTCCCACATCTTCAGTGTCTTTGCAAGGGAATCGGGGTAAACCGGTAGTAATTTTCTTGTTACTTTCCCCCACTTATTCTCTGCGTCGCAGAAATTCTTCAAAGTCTGAGGCACGGACATGCTATCTTTCTGTAGTTTCTGGTGCCGATGCAGGATTTTTACGATGTATTCCTGTGTTTCTTGCTGTTGGGATTTGGAGGGTAAGAGGCTTGTGTTCAAAATGCTGTCTTACATTGTTTGTTTTTATTGTCATAGACATACTTACACTGAGATTCCGAGGACCCTGACACCTGAGACAGAATGTTTAACTGATTTCTGTCTCACTGTGGACCTGCAGACTTCGTTTAGGTTTGTGTTGTACATAATGAGAAGAAACACTTTGGGAAGGTTTCCTTCCACGTCAGGATACAGAACGAGCAAAGGCACGGAGGACAGAAGAGGAAGAGAGCATCAGGCAGCTGGGCTTTGGTCCGGAAGCCAGTGGGTGGAGGGGAGTCACGGGCCGTCGGTCTGTGCGGCCCCAGGAAGGGCCTGGGTGGGCTCCATTCATTTGTTCAGGAAAGAGCTGTCCTGAGTGCGAGATTGATGTGCCCCGTCTTCTTTACAAAAACTAGTCTCCCGGTGGTGGAGGCAGCAGTGGTGCAATGCGACGTTTCCCAAACGTAGTTAACCCTTGAATACCTTGAAACTAATTGCAAGCAATAACTCGCATGTCCTTGGATCAAAACCAACAGCAATGCCGAGCTGTGCCCTGTGTGATGACCTAAGAGCCGTAGAAAACTGACACTGTTTGAAGATTCTGTTCTGTAACGAAACAAGAGAAGCCGTGCATTAGAGGCATTAGACAACATTTAATACGTAAGGGGTAAGTACAGACATAGGCGCACGTACATGTTTAAATACCAGTGAGAGGTACAGAAGATGGGCAGCAGTCAGCGAGCAGGGGACGTGGTCCACGGGCAGGACACAGCCCCATCTCCTGTGTTGGTGCCTCGGGTGACCTCACATACAACTGACGATCTGTCGTTTTCAGAGATGGGTTGCCACCGCCTAAGATCAGATTACCCCGTAAAAATAAGAGCAAGGAAAGAAATATTGGTAGCATTTTTCTTAAGTATACGTTAAACAAATTTGGAGAAGAAGTCCCATCAGCATTATTACCTTTTTTTTTTTAAGAGCCCTTTATGCCTCTCCCAGGACACCCACGTGTCATAGAAAAACCTGAGAAAGGCATGTCAAACAGCTGGGTTTTCACCCCAGATTCACCACATACCAGCCTTATGACCTTATCAAGTGTTTCATCTAAAATGAAGGATTGTAACTTATGGAGTTTTTGCGGAAAAGTATATTAGATAATGTTTTTAAGACCCATGGTACTGGCCGTGGAGTTACATATCAGACACAGATTTTTTGGTGGAAATTATTCATTGTCACCAGAGTTGTACATGCTGGGAGCCGACGGGAAACATGCCTCGTTTCTGTGGTTGGTTAAACGTGGTCGCTAAACGACGCAGCTGTCTGACCTGCACCTGAGAAGCAGACTGCACAAAGCGCAAGAAGAGCAGCTGCAGGAGGCTTTTGTGTGCAGCTGTATTTACAGCACCGTGCAAGCTGTCGTTTTGGGCGATTCAAGGGATTTCCAAGGCTCCGTTGGCTATACGTGTGATTTTTACTTTACAGATAAACCCGAGAGCCTCTTGTGTGTCTTAGGAGGCCGTGGCTGACCGTGAACAGTGTTTAACCCGCAGTGGGCCCTT